TTAATCACATCATGAGTACTTAAAATTCAACCAAAATCTTTTATCTTGTGTGATAAATTTTATATTGATGAAATTTAAAGGTCCCACATAATCTAGAGGAAATTTGACTTATTTTAGGTAATCTCAATTATCAAGATAACACTAGCCTGCCTGATAAGCTTGTAAGCCATTTTAAAGGAGAAAGTATTCTCGACATAATTATTCAAAAATATAATATTGATTTTTATTTATAAAATAAATTATATATATAATTGATCATATCATTAGAAAGCATATTTTACAACCACTCATTCTAGAAAATAATAATAATTTTATTCTTTGAATAAAGAACACTATAAAGATTGACAAACTTAAACTTTCTCAATCATTTATCAAACCAAAAAAAAATTCTTTCTACAATTTCACAAAATGATTCAAATCAAGCTTCATATAATATAATTGTTTTCATTCCAATTGTAAAAATAAATTATTAATTAAATTATTAATAGAAATGACTTAATGGTGTTTTCAATACAATATTTAGCGTTAACCAGAGCACCCATAATTTGAAGTTTTCGAAAGGTCACACAAATATGATTTTTATTATTTTATAAAAGAAAGTATAAGTACGAAGGCCACCTTCATTGATATTTTGACAGCTTATATGTCAAATAGTATAATGAATTTTGTTCCACGCATCTTGCTGCCCCAAAACCAGTTGATAAAATATTTCTAAATTTTAAACAATAGATGTTGTGAGATATGTACTTCCTGACATAGAAATGAGACGAAAAAAGAACACAAGCAAACACAGATCGTTTACGTGGTTCGATCCAACTGGATCTACGTCCACGGGAGGGAATCAATCAAATATTTCACTAAGGCAAAAGAAATGGAGAATACATAGCTTATACATAGAGATGAGCCCTCATCTTCCTTCTACAATCATTTATCAAACCAAAAAAAAATTCTTTCTACAATTTCACAAAATGATTCAAATCAAGCTTCATATAATATAATTGTTTTCATTCCAATTGTAAAAATAAATTATTAATTAAATTATTAATAGAAATGACTTAATGGTGTTTTCAATACAATATTTAGCGTTAACCAGAGCACCCATAATTTGAAGTTTTCGAAAGGTCACACAAATATGATTTTTATTATTTTATAAAAGAAAGTATAAGTACGAAGGCCACCTTCATTGATATTTTGACAGCTTATATGTCAAATAGTATAATGAATTTTGTTCCACGCATCTTGCTGCCCCAAAACCAGTTGATAAAATATTTCTAAATTTTAAACAATAGATTTTTCTTGAGGATGAAAAATATAGTTTTAAATTCTTCACATGAGGGTAATTTGGAAAAAAATATGTTATATTCAAAGTATGCAAGTTCAATGATGAAAGACTAGTTAGTGTGGGCAAAATAAAAATAATTATTATTCAATATATTTAGAGAAAATCAATAAAAATTTTGTTAATCAAGCTCAATAATTTTCTTAATGTCATATTTTGAAAATCTTAATAGCATATATTTTCCATTTGATCTAAGCATTACATTTCATAGTATTTTTTATTCTCTAATGCTCCATTCAATGCTCAATTTATATTGGAAAAATCCTGCTCGAGTTAGCTAAAACATATCATTCTTATTCTTGTTTACTTCAGCTCAACTTTTTAATTTATATTCATTTAGTTGTTCAAGGCAATTTCAACCTTTTTCCTATCTTAATTAACCTCATTAGAAATATAAAAAAACTTCATAGTTTTGAGTATGGAAACTTTATATAAATCTCTTTTATTTTTTATAAGAACCAATCAAGCCTACAACCTCTAAAAGGAAAGGCCAATTAAGTTTAATATAATCATTAAAGACAATATGATCTAATTTTTAACCTATGTTCTAAATCTCTAGTCTCAAGCCAGACAACCTAGCTTTATGATTTCCTTAACAAAAATTACAGTTCCTATAAAGGATCCTCTCATCATTACAACTCAATTCATGGAACTAGCTCCTTTAATAGACTAGGTGGGAGTTTTAAATCACATACTATAGTTAATCTTTTTATTTGTTGGTGTTAAGCCTAATTTATAACATTTATTAGTTAATCTATGCTCCAAGTCAATCTCATGTTTTAATTACGCAAACTTCATCTTTAATAGGACTACAAATATACTTACAAAACTCATTGTTACTCCGCCCCATGTCTCTCTTCTTAATAGCTTTTTAGTTTTTTTATCTCAATAAAATCACTCATCTCAATCTCTTATGAACACCTTGTCCTAAGATGTGTTCATTTTAGTTCCAATTAGCCTTACCTTAAGAAGACTCATTTCTATTCAACTTACTAATTCCATATCCAAGCAATCTCTCTTCTTGATGGTTTATCCTGATAAGTACACATTTTTGAACTTGTTGTAGGGATTTTCCCTTCTTGATCACTTACTTCTTAGTATTTCATCTCAAGAAGATTTTCTTAGAGCTTTTATCGAGTACTCTTCCTAATCAATATCATGTTCCAATAAGTTTCCCTTATTAATGCTTATTTCCCCTCCAGCTCTTTTGTTCTTAGAGAGTGGTTGTTTCTTATCATGCCTCAACTGATAATGAATCTTTCACTTAATAACATTTCTTCTACTCACATCTCATGGTGGAAGAGAAGACATTTCATTCATTAGAATGCCCTTAGGCTTCTCATATGAAAATTTAAACCTCTATTAATAAAAAGCTTATTTCTCAAAGTAAAATATTGAAGGACACCATTAGCCCAATATCATCTTTAACTATTTAACTCATATTTTATTTGTACTCGAATGTGTAGCATATTGGTTAGACAAACAGTAAAAACTCATGAGGTGTCGGGTGCAATTGCTGATTCTTTGGTTAGACAAACAGTAAAAACTCATGAGGTGTCGAGTTCAATTGCTCA